CCACAACAAATCTATTAAATTAACAATTGTATTGAATTCCCAAATTAATGTAGGATCAACATAAAGAGAGTATATGTTAAATAATATTTTTAATGCAATTTTTTTTTACTATCGAGGCTAGTATCATCGATACCCATAATGATACTGATTCTTCTATTAGATAAAAAGTAGTCCTTAGAGTTATTTAACATTACATTTAATATGTCATAACAACTTTTTAGCATTTATTGAGGACAAAGAAACTGAAAAATGAGCGTTTACGATTGTCACTTTGCATTATTGACACACTATTTTCCTAATTAATGCTGTACAGTTGCTCTGACACAATCTGTATTGTTAAAAGCGTTATATAAATAAAGGTGACTTGACTTGACTTGACAAAGATGCCCCAGATGCCTCATTAATTGTGTTAATAAAAAAAAACATAAGTATAGCTAGTTGAATTAAAATTCTCTTCATTCAGCAGAGGTAAATCAGGTTTGATTCATCACATTAGAGGCTCTGAATGTAGCGAGCATTTTATTCGATGCCGCAGCTGCGCGAGAGAAAACACATTGAGAGACAGAGGAGATGGTCACGGAGGAAGCAGCGCGGCAGATGGAGAGGAGCTTCAAAAGCTGAAAATCTGAATCTGGTTGGTCTGAGATATGGAAAGAGATGCATGGAATGAGGAAACAGATTTATATAATCACGCCAACCAGCATGGAGTCGTCGAGGTGGAAGATTGCCTGACCAAAGACGAAGGCAGTCTTGAAAATGTGCAGACGCTGAGAAATATATCCTCACACAGGAACCTCACAGGAATCAGAAAATAAGCCGGCTACAGAAATACAGTGGCATCTGAAACGGTTTCAACCCTGAAGACGATGAAGACTGCATCTGTGGCGGTTGTGAAAGTGGACTGTCGACTGCCTTTTTGGCAACATCAGCGATACGCAGAGAAATAAGCAAAATCCAAACCCTGAGGCGACTTTGTAAAAGTGCATTACTGGAAGAAAGAGACAAAGAGTTGGGAAGAGGATACTGACCCTCCGTGAAGTACAAGCTGGCATCGATTCTCCACACGATCTGGCCTTTGTGAGAGCCGCTCACGCCACGACTCTTATAGTCCAGAAAGTTTTCTGACAGAACCTCGTCTGTGAAAGAAAGAGAAATAACAGCAGAAGGTTGTTTTCTCTTGTTCTGCCTCCATTTCAAGGTCAGATAACATGCTAAGCTTGCAATACAACTATTTTAAGTCATTACATTGCTAAGGGCATGAAAAACAAATGGGATTTATTTTAATAAGATATTTTACGTCCTCTGTAGAGGACATCAGGACTCATTTATTAAGAAAATGAAAAGACACTATAATTTTTTAGGTTCCAGGCTATTTGTTTGAACAAAACTTTGCATAAAGATACTCCCAGTTATGTAATGAAAGATATTACAGAATGATTAGATATACTATTTTATAGCCATAAATGGGTTTTCCCATTCTATCACATTCAATCTAGTTTGCATATTAATGTGTTCGATTGAAAAAAGAAGTGTACTCATTTTAAAAATAATATTAATATAATAAAATAATATTAAATATATATACAACTAGTAATGTGAAATATTATTACAATTTAAAATAACTGTTTTCTGTATTAATATATTTTAAAATGCAAATATAGCTGATTCTGATTTGCTGCTCAATTTAATTTAAAGTATTATTGGCGCTTAATTATTAATAATGGGTTCTTTGATGAATAGAAAGTTGAAAGCATTTATTTGAAATATCTTATTTTGAAAGTTATTATTTTGAAAAATCTTCTGTAAAATTATGAGTTTCTTTACTCTCACTTTTGATCAATTTAATGCAACTCTTCTGAATAAAAGTGTTAATTTTTTTATTATCATTATTTCTAATCTTACTTAACCCCAATCTTTTGCAATGTATGATGGTTTCCACAAACATATTGTGCAGAACGACTGTGTTCAACATTGATAATAATCAGAAATGTTTCTCGAGCAGCAGATCAGCATATTATACTGATTTCTGAAGATCATGTGACACTGAAGACTGGAGGAATGATGCTGAAAATACAGCTGCGCATCACAGGAATACATTACAGTTTAACACATATTCACATAGAACACAGCTGCTTTAAATTGTATTAATATTTCACTATTTTACTGTATTTTTTAGATCAAATAAATGCAGCCTTGGTGAGTTACAAGAGACTTCTTTCAAAAACATTTGAAATGGAATTATTCCAAACTTTTGACAGGTAGAGAGTATATATGTATGTGGATCACCGCTGAGGTACATGCCGATCCAGTCGCCGGCGTCCACCTCCTCTCTGATGTCCCAGCAGATGACGAGCTGGTCTGATTGTCCGATGCAGTAGAGCGAGGTGCTGGCGCTCAGGGTGGAGCGGCTCTGTAAGGACACCAGGTCCGTGTCGCTGGTGGATCGAGCCGAGCTGAAGTGTGTCTCGCTCTTACACCGCCGGCGAGACGGAGAGGCCATGGCTGCCAGGCCCAGAAACCTGCTCTGGTACAGGTTCTGCAGAGAAAGTCATGCCACCTTCACACTTGTGTTATATTTAACTTGGTGGCTTCATTGTTTATCACAGTTTATCATGGGAGCAGTTGAACTGATCATGTTCAATACTTATCTTAAAGTGACATTACAATTCATTATTGCAGAAAAAACACATGGAAAACTGACCAAAGAAAGTTTTATCATATCTCTATCTCTAAAACTCTTATATTTCTACACTGAAAAAAAAAAGGTCAGTTGCTTCTTTATATTTTTAAGGTTGTACAAGTCGTTTCAAATTAAATTACATTAAACCGACTTAAAAAGTTGAATTTCATAGGACTTAAAAGAAATTGCTCAACTTATTTGGATGAGTTAAAATAACGTAAAAACATACATGTTCTTTAACAGTGTGTAACTTTATCTCCAAATCTTTATAGCTTAATTTTTATAGTAAAACAAAGTATACATACACACACACACACACACACACACACACACACACACACACATATATATATATATATATATATATATAT